CCAACGTCAAATACAGTGAAAACAGGGGTTATACCGTGGGGGAAGAACATACAAGAGAAACAAAAGAATCACATAGTACATTTTAGATATGTTTAAAACAGTAGCAAGCAAGAAAAAAAAAGTTGTGTCCCTATCTTGGGGTTCATTTCTTATATGGTCATATGTACATAGCTTTTGACCTTTTCTGCTTGTCCTCAACTTATGCTAGTTATTGCAAATAAGGGAAACAATGGGACCTATGTTTCTTTGGGCCTGGCTTACTTCACTTAATATATTTTTTTCAAGTCTTTCCATTTCCTAACAAATAGGGCAGTGTCATTCTTTCTGATGGAGGCATAGAATTCCATTATGTATGTATATATATGTATATATATATATATATATATATATACATATATATGGCACATTTTCTTGATCCATTCATCTACTGAGGGGCATCTGGGTTGGTTCCATATCTTAGCTGTGGAAAATAATGCTGCAGTAAACATAGTTGTGCTGGTAGCTTTAGTATAGCCGTGTTTGTAATAGTTTGGGTAAATGCCCAAAAGTGGGATGGCTGGGTCATAGGGAGCTCTATGTGGAATCTTTTGAGGAACCTACACATTGCTTTCCAAAGTGGTTGAACAGGTTTACACTCCCACCAACAATGCAATAGAGTTCCCTTTTGGCCATGTCCCCTCCAGCATCTGTTGTTACTAGATGTCTTGATTATAGCCATTCTAACTGGGGTGAGGTGGAATCTCAATGTTGTCTTGATTTGCATTTCTTTTGGGGCTAGAGAAGTTGAGCATTTCTTCATGTGTCTATTGGCCGTTCTTAGTTACTCTTCAGAGAAGTTTCACTTTAAGTCTTTAGCCTACTTATTTATTGGGCAGTTGTTTCTTTGAGGATTTGTTGTTGTTGGATTTAGTTTTTTGAGTTCTAAGTATATTTTAGATATGAGACCCTTGTCCATTGTATGACTAGTGAAGATCTTCTCCCAATTCATGAATTTTCTATTGATCTTGTTAGCTATATCCTTTGTCATGCAGAAACTCTGCAATTTCATGCAATCCCATTTGTAAACTTTCCTTTGATTTGTTGTGTTTTTGGGTCTTTATTAAGAAAATTTTGGTCTGTGCCAAAGAGCCTTAGAATTTCTCCTATTCCTTCCTGTAATGTTTTCAGGGTGTCTACTTTGACATTGAGGTCTTTGATCCATTTGAAGTTGATTCTGGTGCAGGATGATATATGGGGATCTAGCTTTAGTTTTCTACAGGTGTTTAACCAATTTTGCCATCACCATTTACTAAAGAAATAGCCACATTTTTCTTTGGCCTAACATTACCTTTGCTTATTTTCTGGCCAAACTACACTACTACTACTACTTCACCTTGATCTTTTTCTCCTTCTTATTTAAAAATTTTTTTGACTTTAAATTTTTTATATATTTTTATTGTAAAGGTACTGTATAGAGAGTTACAGTTACACGAGTAGGGTAATGAGTAAATTTCCTATCGAGCATTGTTACCTCCTCCTTTGATTTTCCCCCACCATGACTTCCCTCCTCACCTCCCCAACTCCTCCCTGCCCCAACATTGTAAAGTTTGTTTTCAACATAGTATCTTGTATATCTCCTTGTCACAATGGGTCAACCTGCATCCCCAATTAAGCATTCACTATAACCCTTACCCTCCCCAAATTACAAAAATGTATATACAAGATGCAGAATACCGGAATCAAATACAGTGAAAACAGGTCATACTGTGGGGGAAGAACTTACAAAAGAAACAAAAGAATCACATAGTGCATTATAAGTACATTAAAAACAATAGCAAGAAAGAAAAAACCCCTTGTGTCCCTGTCTTGGGGTACATTTTGGTTAACATCATCTCATATGGTCGTATATACATAGCCTTTGACCTTCTCTGCTTGTCGTAGACAAGTACTAGTTATTGCAAACAAGGGAAACCATGGCACCTATGTTTCTTGGGGCCTGGCTTACTTCATTTAACATAATTTTTTCCAAGTCTTTCCATTTCCTAACAAATGGGGCAGTATCATTCTTTCTGATGGAGGCATAGAATTCCATTGTATGTATATTATTATAAAAGTGTTGTACAGAGAGGTTACACTTGTATAAGTCAAATAAAGAGTACATTTCTTTTTGAACAACGTCACCCCTTCCATTGTTCTAAGTTCTCCTTCCCATTCCCACTGACAAACAAATATAGTTCATTTTCAACTTAGTGTCCAGTGAGTACTACTGCTGCATTTGTTCACTCATTATCCCTCCATTCCTGTGCCTCCCCTTGTACTCCCAAAGCCATATAAAATAACAAACAACAACAACCCCCCAAAAACAGCTAAAAGGGAAAAAAAACCTCTTGTTTTCAGTTCCTGGACTTAATTTCAATAAATATTATTTTGTATGATTAGATGCACATAAGCATTGAACCTTTCTGTTCCTCTCCTAAGAATTCCTCCTTTGCTCTCACTGTGTATGAATGCATCACTGTAAATTGGCCAGAAGCAGTTATGAGTAACTATGCCACAGATCGAACACTGGGCTCTCTTCTGATTTCCTTACCGGGTTTATCTGTCTATCTTGTGAAGTGGAAGGGAGGGCAGTCAATGGGGACTGGAGTGCAGTGACCAAGTAGAGAAGGAGAGAAGTTACCTTTGGCTTTTGAATCCTGGGTGGGGTTGGTGTGTGTTAGGCTTTGCTCTCAAGAGTTGAAGACAATAATTAATTGAAATTGGAAACACAAATGGTTCTTTTCTATATCATCATTTTTTCTATATCATCATTCACTGAGATAATGGTTGTGTCACCCGAGGTGACAGTCTGAGGAGGTCCGTGAGAGTAAGAGATCCTGTTAGTGTCCAACTACTGCCCTGTCCCTGGGTACTTGTGCCAGTTTTCCCCAGTCACTGACACAGAAAAGAATTTCAGACCCAGACATGCAGTAAATATGCTAAGGTCCTAGCAGAGCTGGATTCTGCAAGCACAGGAGAAAGCAGACACATTTCTTGGCAAAGTGGCAGCACCGGACAGAATGCAATGAGCCTGCTAGCAGCAGGGGTAAACACTAACGTTGGGGAGTGGCTTAGCTTTAACATTCCTTTAGATACGGAATGCTCTCTTATTTTGAGAAAAGGATAAGCATCTTGTTGTTACAATGTTTCCATGTTGCCACTCTGGCCCCAACACATTAAGTCTTGGTCAGTTCCTACTAGATCTGGGTCTTTGGAACATACATGTCTGATTTTTCCTTTGCAAGCATTTCTTTCATAGAAGGAGACGTTTTTCTAAAGGTTTGTCTCATGTGAAAGATGTGCTCATTCTAGGCCCAATAATGTTTTTAAGCAAGTTCAGCAGTGTTGGTTTTCTACTATATGCTATCACTCAATGTTTCTTGAGGACCAATGAGAAAGTTATTACTGCTCCTATCACGTTATTCACTAATGTGTGTTTTGAAAAATATTGTTGCCATATATTACATTTAAAAGCAATTTCACAATAGCATTTCCTTTTCTTTTTTTTCCTTTTGTGCTGGTTCTGAGGATTGAACTCAGGGCCTGGACACTGACCCTGAGCTTTTTTGTTCTAGGCTAACACTCTATCATTTGAAACACAACTTCACTTCTGGCTTTTCTAGTGTTTAATCAGAAATAAGAGTCTCACGGACATTCCTGCCAGGGTTAGCTTTGAACTGTAATCCTCAGATCTCAGCCTTCTGAGTATGTAGGATTACAGGTGGGAGTCACCAGCACACAAAACACAGTGGCATTTACACATATGCATATACTATACTTGATTATATTGTTCACCTCTATCACTATTTTTCACTTCCTCCCCCCAAAAAACATTTTAAATGGTTGTGTGTGTGTGTGTGTGTGTGTGTTTATGCTGATCATGGGGCTTGACCATAGGACCTGGGTGCTATTCCTAAGCATTTTTTTTTTTTTGGTTGAAGGCTAGTACTCTACCACTTGATCCAGAACTCACTTCCGTCTTTTTGGTAGTTTATTGGAGATAAGACTCTCACAGACTTTCTCCTGTCAGGACTGGCTTTGAACTGCAATCCTCAGACCTTAGCCTTCTGAGTAGCTAGGATTACAGGTGTGAACCACCAGCACCTGGCATCATTCTCCTATTAACAAAACTTCAGTTCACACCCTCCATGTGACATATGTTGTTGGAGGAACAAAGAAAGAAGTGGTAGCAGGACATTCATGGCTCCTTTTCTTAAAAAGCCCCATTTAGTGTGGGGGAGACAAGCAGTGAATCAGCAGGGCTAATGTTACATGTTGATTGCTGGAATAGGGCAAGAGTGACACAGGATGATAAAACCGCACAAGGCCCTGCTACCTAACCCTAATGGAGAACATGGAACCACTTTCCAAAGGAGGAGAACTCTCAACTAAGACCTAGATTCCATCCCCAAACAGCCTTCTTCTCCACCTCTCTTCTGACTCCAAGAATCGATTCCAAATCCCAAATACACAACTGAGCCAACAGAAAAGCCAAGTCCAGCATGGACAGCAGGAAAGGCTCACATCCCCCACTTCTTTCCTTGTTCTGATTGACAAACACAGAGAGCCAGATGCTCTGTGCATCAGCAAACTGCAGCTGCACATTTTTCCTTTCTCTGGAATCCAAGAAGTTCCCTTCATTAGTTCTAGGCACTGACTAAATATTTTAGGTTTAAACACTCAAAGAACAAACATGGAGATAAGGTTGTAGGAAGTATTTTTGCTCCTGAGCCAATTCCCACAGCCCTCACTTAAAGCTCAAAAAAGCAGTCCCAGCTTGTGCACAAACCTGGGTAGACTCTCCTTTCTCACTGTCTGTCCTGAGGATACTGATGCCTTCCTTCTGTGAGGAATTTTCCCTAACGGATGCTTTGGCTAGATCCTTGGAATCTCAACCAGCTCCACACTGCAATCTCTTGTGAGGATTCCCTGCCTCCACTTCTGGGGCAGCTTCTTCTGATATTGGTTTGGATAAAAAAAAATAGCCAAGATAAACCCTTTATTTTATATTTATAAGCCTTTCACACTCCCGAAGCACATATGCCCATTTATTCTCAAACACCTGCAATGCCTGTTTTCATTTGCATGGGACAGGGAGGGCTCCAGCTTAGCACCTAGGAACATGAGTCTTGGCTCTACAAGGCAGGAATCTTGCCATCTCTTAGACATCTTTGAGATGCTGTTGTCCTCCCTGTACCTGTTATTGTCTCCTGGGTCTGTGAGAGCCAGAGAGGCTGTTCGTGCAGCAGCTCTGGTCCTGGGCATGCAACAACCAGCAGAGGTTCATTCATAACTCTAGAGTTGCAAGGCAGCAACATGTCTATGGATGGGGAATCTGATGGCTCAAGTGAGATCAGACAGAACCTAGACTCAAATATGAGTACTGACATTTGAGCTTTCAGAATCTCTCTGGGTCTCAACTCTTCTCCAAGAGTTCCCTGATCAGGTGAGGATGGGTCTCATTCAGGGCTTGGTACAGTTGATCTTTGCAGATCCAGTCCCAGGACCGGCTGAAGCTGAACAGCTTCCGCATCTGGTCTGGCCTGGTGGCCTGAGCCCGCACCTGCTCATACTGCTCCTCACTCAGCATGTGTCCATGCAGCAGGTCCAAGACAGGATCCACAGATGTCACTCGGGCCACCAGCTGCTCCCGATGCCTGTCCACAAAATGTGGCAAGGCCAGAGCATCTCGAGGTGAAGGTAAGTCTGGGAATGAGCAAAGAAAGACTAGTACAATAACCTCTGTCTATGGTTCCTATGTCTAACTTTTAAATTCATCTCATTTGTATCTATGACAATCTTCTCCTGGAAGTAGTTGCACATCAGAAAACCACTACTGTCCTGACTTATAGCAGCAACCAGCCTAGAATTTTTCCCAAGCAGGAGGTAGGGCTTAGGATAGGGCACTGAGACTGTGAGTGGTGGCATGCTAGGACCTTACTTAAGATGAGCTCCCAACAATGAGCAGACAGTGTAACCAAGACTTTCACTGTCTTGGAGAACTGTTACTGACCTGCTGGAGGTGGTGTGACCACATTGGCTGCACCTCTGATGTCTCCTGGAGGGAAAGAGAGATGAAGACAAATTCATAACAGCTAGTTACACACAACACAGCACAAAACTTCTACCTTGTTGAGATTCTTGGATTTGGAGAACAAATTACAGACAACTTGTGATCAAATCTGGATTAAGGACTAGGGGGCCTAAGACAAAATTCTGGGGGTCTCTTCTTTATGCACTTGTGAAAACTGAGGGACTAAAGCTGTGCTTGTAGGCTAGTAAAGACAAAGGATAAATCTAATGGGCAAATGAGAAAATATTACCATAATATTTTATTTTGGGTTTTATCTTGTCAAAGCCTGAGCTGGATATCTGGTGGAAAATTACTAAAGTCTCTTGGCAGATATCCTTAGCTATTTGAAATCCTTTTCTGAATAGAAATCTATTTCCTTGTCCTTCTATACTCACACCACATATACATATATTGACTTTGATGACAAAATCAAGCTCAAATGTAGCTTAGCATATTGGGAATTATCAATCAATTTTTTTATATCAATCAATTTTATCACAATATGCACAAAAAAGCAAATGGATATGCATAGTGGTCACTGCTCCTCATGTGAACAAAAGCCTGAAAATGTGTACTGACCTAAGTTTAGTGTCATCTAACAGTGCAGGGGAAGTAGACACAAGGTCTCCTATGTGGTGCTGGGAGCCTTGGTTTCATTAAGGCAGAGGGATGGGCTGTTCTTCAAACTCTTGTTCATTAGACAATACTATCCAATTTCAATTCATCCACAGGCTAGAGCATCTGGTGACTGAGTGGCCAAGAATTTCAAAGTAAAAATAGGATAAACTGCAGATGACTCAGATGCTTATAGGACTGCATATGAAGGGTCATGATTCCAGTTTTGGGTATCTGTAGTCTTTCCAAAGAGGAAGGAAATAGACTTGGGGGAGCCCTGAGGGACAGAATGAAGACAGAGAAGGAAGAAGTTGGCTTAACACAAGGAACAAGAACAATATTGCTAGTAATTGTTAAGGTGCGAGTGTTTATGAAAGGTCATTGCCTATGGTATGCATCAATAACATTTTATTTAACATTTTCAACAACCCTATCATACTTATTTTATAGACAAAGAATCCTATATTCATCGAGGTTTAGTAATTTTCCCAACATGATGTGGTGGGTTCAAACCCAGGTTGGATGAATCTGGCTGGTTATTTACCCACCTACCTGTGGCTCCAAGCCAAGACTGCAACTAGCCCATCCTCTCACCACACAGGACAAGCTTGCTGCAGCAGCTCAGGAGGGCTACCACTGTTTGACTGATGGCAGTGGCTGGTTGTCCAGAGAAGCACTGAGTAGGAAATCTAGTGTTGTGGGTAAACTAAAAGATTAGATTTCTTTGCTTCTGAAAATTCATTATGGGATTTCCTTTTATCCTTGAAATCTCTGTCTGATCCAGGAGTGAGAATCTGATATTGGTGAAGTAATTTAGCCCATAAACCACTGAACCATTCAGTACCTCCTTTTTCATTGCACAGCCTAGCCTATGTGAGAAATTGTGCCAAAGATCTTATGAATATGTTCATTCAAGGCCAGTGCAGAGACACCAGGCTACAAGGGAAGGAAAAGGGAACTTTGAGCCAGATTGATTTGAGTTTAAACTCTGATTCTATCAGTTGTTTTATAACTCAAGAAAGGCATACAGATTCTCTGAGGTATTTCTTCTCATCAATGAATTGTAATCATGCACACAGCATCCTGGTGCCTCCCATTCACTGACTTTATTTCTCCCGCTTCTGTGCTTTCTGGTCTTGTCTTGTCTTACCTGGCTTCACCTTGGCCTCCCATAGGACAGCTCCATCTTTCTTGTCACTTATTTGTAGCCTGATCCCAGGACCCAAGTGGGCAACAGAGATCTCAGAGAAGAGTTGAGATTCTTCAGGGCTCCGATAGCAGAATTTCAGTTCCTGAACAGAGAAAGGGTTGCCAGAAGAAAAGCCACAGTTCATCCAAGCCCCTTCTTGGCCCTACAGGGACCCTGGATATCTCCTGTGCTGAATTCAGGCACCACTTCCAGACTACATGTCCTGACATACATAGCTGGATCTCCCGCTGAAGAGTTGGGGCCCATCCTATTAACGGTACTCAAACACCCTAGACCAGATCTTTCCCCCTTCATCTTCAAATGATTCTTCTTCATTTCCCACATCTTGAAGAACCCTTGGTTCTTCACCTTCATAGTAACCTTCATTACTAAAGCGTTCTAACCTCTACACATTCCTAGTCAACAGAAAACTTACGTTCATTACTTTTCCCAAATCAAATCCAAGGCAGGAATCTTGATTCCCAAACATTCTCCTCTCTGCCTGATTCCTGAACCAAAGTGACAAAAGAAGATCTCAGAGAAGAGCTGGGATTTTTCAGAATCCCAAATTTTCACTTTCTTCAAACTCAGTCAATCCCAGTACCATCTCATGAGCACGCAGGTTCCAAATCTTGGCATTATCTTTAACTCCTTCCTTCTTTTCTCTCCTGATAATGGCCAATCCACCAAGTCCTATTGCTCATACCTTCATGATAGCTTTGTAGAGCTGTTACAGAGAACTATAGTCCTTTGTTTTTGGTAATTGCGTGTGTTGTTTGGCAATTGCTTGTTGTTCAGAGTCCATCAACAGTCCTCCATCTCCAATGTACCTCCCCTGGTCAAGCCACCTTGAATTCTCCCCTGTGGTCTTGGAACAGCCATTTGTCTTGTTACTCTGCTATCTTTTGTTGTAGCCAGAGACATCTTTATGCGAGAAAATCAGCTGTTGTATTACCATGTTTAAGATCCTCCAAGGAGCTGGCTTATGCTTGTAATTCTAGTTACTCAGGAGGTTGAGATGAGGGGAACAATTTGAAGCCAGCCTGGGCAGAAAAATCCATGAGACTCTCATTTCCAATTAACTACCAAAAAGCCAGAAGTGGAGGTCTGGCCCTAGTGGTAGAATGCCAGCCTTGATTGAAAAAGCCAAGTGAGAGCATGAGGCTTTGAGTTCAAGTCCAATACTGGCACAAAAAATTTAAAAAAAGACTCTCTAAGCACATATCATTGGAATTAGAGCAAAATGCAAATTCTGCATCAAATCCAACTGGAACAATGAGTCTGGAGAAACTCTGTCACTGGTCTGACTCCACTTTTTGCTGCTTGTGCTAAGCTGTCATGCTGGCCTCCTTTGTCACCTAGAGTTATCAAACTTGCTCTCATTTCTGCCTCAGAGCATATTCCTTCTCTCTGGAACGTTCCACTACAAATTTCCTTATGCTCAAACCCATTCCTGTGACTTAGGCCTCAACCCAAGTGGCATCTTCTCAGACACCTCTGACCAATCAGCCTAAGTCAGTCACAGTACTGTGTCACCTCAGGGCACTTAGCATTACTATGTTTTGTTAGTATTTATTTGTCTGCAGATTCCACCTGGTATGATGCTAATTTCCCAAAGGAAGGGATCTACCCCTGTGCCAGGTCCACGGCTCTCTCTTCACTGAAACCCACCATTAGCACTGGATTAATGTCTGTGGAGTGACTGAATTGGGCCCTTTTCTCATTCCTTGTTATCAACTGACACTGCAGGGTAAATCCCAGATAGTCACCTGTGGCTAGATGTGTCCCAACTAAAAAGGCAAACATGACTTGCTCCTAACTACTAGATGTAGATTTGATATGTTCTATCTGAGGAAAATAAATTGGATCATCAGAAATCCCTTAGAGGCATCAGCCCTCAAGAATGGATGGCTTCTGCCTGAGATGTTATAGCAAGATTTATTTTTTTCTGGTTGTTTAACACCATTTCTCACCCTTTTATTCTACTTTTCATCTTGGTTGAGTATTTCACTTCAAAGTCTTCTACGACACTGCTATGATCTCTTTTGATCTTCCTCCTGCTGTCTGTGGTTGCCTATGCTTTCCTTCTAGCATTAAAGAAAACATAGAACTCTCTGGTGTATTTCAGCAGAGCTTCACGGCTGCCGTGATGACAACTGGCTGTTGGAGCTGTCTTCTTTGGAATTAAAATATCTAATAGCTAGTTACAGGGGAAGTTTCATTAGCGTGAGTATTTCTTGTACTTATCCTTGTTGTAAGTGGAATAATTTGTGGCTGGAGTGGGCAAAAATCAGGCCACTTGACTTTCTTCAATAGACCTAGAGAGATTCTTGGAAATGATTTTATTGACCAATTTCATTAACTAGACCCCTAGTTTTGAGATCTGTTACAAAACTACTAGTCCTTTTGGGTGTCCATTGCCTATAGTAACATTGTGGGACATGTCCTTCCTGAGCCACTGTCATGTCAGGTGTGTCAGAATCCTCACAGCCACGTGCCCCATCCTCCCACCCCCACCCCGGTTCATACACAGATGACCATCTAGTGATGCTGCTCTTCCTAACCAGTAAACCTGAGTAATGTTGAAAATCTGGATATTATAAGCAAAAATCCAGCAGCCCAACCCCATCTGTCTTTGTGCAAAGCAAGTACATGTCGGTAGAGATACTGAAAAAGAACAAAATGTACCTCCCTCATGTCCAGGCATTACTCTGAGTTTCACAGCCTGACCTCAGTGCCAAGTGTGTCAGGATGCAGGTGAGGGAGAAGACCAGCCAGACCTGCTGCACACAGAACATCTATGACAGTCTGGTCACCAGGAACCTAGAAAATGTCCATCCCCTCCCCCTCTCCACCACAGGCTCATGGGAGGCCATGTCTTTAACAAGCACAGCTTACTGCTTCAGTGTGCAGGAGTTGCTAAGATGTTCTGTTTACTTTCTGAGAAACCTCAATCTAGAGCACAACGGTCTCATCAGAGCTTCTTCTACATTCCCCAGCCAAGGTCTAAATCCTGCAGTAGTTTCTAACACCCTCTGCCAAGAGGCCTGAGAGGTCCTTCTGCTATGTTTCCCTCTACTATAAGGAGTACTAAACATAGTGGGGCCTAGTACAGGTGTGGGCTTGGTTCATCGATACTCTGTAGCCTCCAAACTTTCCAGTGTCCTCAAGTCAAACACATCTGTTTTCTTTTATCCTGATACTGGGACTTGAGCTCAGAGCCTGAGTGTTGTTCCTTGCGTGGCTTTTTTGCTTAAGGCTAGTGCTCCACCACTTCGAGTGACAGTTCTACTTCCCATTTTTATGCTGCTTCCTTGGTGATCAGAGTCTCTCAGATTTTCTGAGTTGGGTTGGCTTCCAATAGCTATCCTTCGATCTCAGCCTCCAGAGAAGCTGGAGGTGATCCTACCTGTTCTCTTATTCTTGAATGTGATCCTTCTGCCCCCAGCTCCCTTTTCTCCAATCTTTGAAGTATACATGCTTATTTCAAATGCCCCTCACTTTGACCCAGTTCCTGGGAGGCCCTGGGTCCTATCCTTCATGTTTGCCCAGGCATGCCTACAATCCTGGCAAGGTGCAGACCTCTCATTGCTCACCTGGGGGATGATTTCCAGCGACTCAGAACCAGACACATTATAGCGAGAGTTCAGGTAAAGAGGATCCAGTGGTGGGGGCTTGTGTATGTGCACAAACTGGAACTTTTCTTCTTTATCATCTATGGCCTAAGGAGCATAAGAAACAATGATGTCAGGAGATTCCTGCCCCACAGAATCTCCTGTGGATTACTCACTCACATCAGAGCTCCTAATTACAAGAAGCCCATTTTTATTCCCATTGAAGATACCCCTCCTGGTCTCTCTGTGAGCCCTTCCTGCCCAAGCTTTCAGGTTGTCAGTGTCACCTTCTGAATGGTGCAGTCATTGGGGATCAGGTAGAGGTGGAAGGTGAGGTCCTCAGGTTGGCAACGATGATAGAGCAAGGTTGTGGAGGTGATGCGGATGAGGCGTCGGGCCTTGGGGATAATTCTCAGCAGAAGTCCCACTGGAGAGAAGCTGGGGTTCTCCAGGACTGCGCAATGCGACTCCACCCTGGCTGGCTTCTCCAGCAGCATCCCCTCCTCTTTAAAGTGGGCCACATGGAACCAGGAGATGTCCACATGTTCATCTGTCAAAAGAACGCATTTGAGAAGCATGGCTTCTGTGCCCGTTCTGACTCAGGTTCGTTTGGAGAAGTAGGACCCCAGGGTTAGGCTCAGAGACCTTCCTGGAGAGAAGCAGTGGTTGGCTCCGAATGGTCATGTCCTTGCTAAATTCGTGTTGAAATGGTAAACCCTTGGTGCTGCTGTTAGGAGGTGAAGTTTTCTGGGACTTACTGGGGTGTGGGAGGTAGAACCCTCATGAAAGGGATGAGTGCTCTTACGAATGAAAGACACAAGAAGAAAGAAAAGCTGGTGGCCAATAGACACATGAAGAAATGCTCAACCTCCCTAGCCATAAAAGAAATGCAAATCAAAACAACATTGAGCTACCACCTCACTCCAGTTAGAATGGCTAAAATCAAGAACTCTAAAAACAACAGATGCTGGAGGGGATGTGGACAGAAGGGAACCTTACTGCATTGTTGGTGTGAGTGTAAACTTGTTCAATCACTTTGGAAAGTAGTATGGAGGTTCCTCAAAAGACTCCACAAGAGCTCCCCTATGACCCAGCAATCCCACTTTTGGGCATTTACCCAAATGATCACAAACAAGACCACACTAAAGCTACTAGTACTACTATGTTTATTACAGCATTATTTACCATAGCTAAGATATGGAACCAACCCAGATGCCCCTCAGTAGATGAATGGATCAAGAAAATGTGGTATATATACACAATGGAATTCTATGCCTCCATCAGAAAGAATGACATTGCCCCATTTGTTAGGAAATGGAAAGTCTTGGAAAAAATTATATTAAGTGAAGTAAGCCAGGCCCAAAGAAACATAGGTCCCATGGTTTCCCTTATTTGCAATATCTAGTATATGTCTGAGTCAAGCAGAAAAGATCAGATAAGGTGATGTTAGGGAAATGAACCCTAAGATATGTATTCAAATGTTTTTTTCTTTCATGCGATTATTTCTAACACATTGTTGCTTTGTATGTCCCTCCCCCATGGTATAACCCCTGCTTTCACTGTATTTGATGTCGGTATAATTTGTGGAGGGGAAGGGGAAAAACAAATCGTTTAAATTGTGATACAGGTGGACCCATTGCAACAATGAAATGTACAAGTCATTATGTCGAAAACGAACTTCACAACTTTGGTGGGGGGGTGAAGCAGGGAGGATTGGGGGGGGGAAGGAGAAGGATGGGAAGGGATGAGAAGGGGAAACAAAGGAGGAAGCTACAATGCTTGATAAGAAATGTACTCATTATCTTGCCCATGTAACCCTTCTGTACAGTATTTTCACAATAAAAAAAGTTAAAAAAAAGAAAAAATAAAAAAGTGATAGAAAGGCATAAAGAAAAGCAGAAGGAAAGAAAGAAGAGACCTATAGAGTTGCACTGAATGTGAGAAAGGAGATTCTTACTAAACAATCTCTTGGCACCTTGATCTGGGGCCTCCTAGCTTCTAGAAGTGTGAGAAAATAGTGTTCTTCATATACTACCTGGTCAGCATATTTTAATTTAGTAGCCCAAATAGACAAGGCATCAGCATAGGGATAGAGGCCATGCAGGAGTGGGGTCTCATGAGCCCTGGACAATCAAGTCTCCAGAGTGGGAGGCCCACAGGAACCTTAAGCCTTGAGCAAACTGAGACCCATGACCAGAACCTGACCATAGAACTGGGAAAGACACAGAACTTTTGTTAGTGTGCTGCTGTGGAGCCGAAAACTTGCTGGCAGGTTTGATTTCAGGTAGGTAGAGAACAAGCAGGAGGAAGGGGCTTTGGGAAAATGGAGTGACGAATGGCAGATTCCATTGGCCAAGGGTTTGGCCACCATTGAAATCTTCATATTGGGAAGAACCCAGGCCTCTCCCACTGTGTGGTCTGGGCAGAAGTCATATCTGCTCTCCACTGTGGCAACAGATGTGCAGTTCAGGCTAGATTAAGTGGGTCACCCCATAGAGGACCTTGAGTCTAGAGTGGGGAAGCTCAGGTTAAGAGGCAAATGGAGAAAATTTTGGCAGTGGCAGTGTCAAGTGACCCAGGAATCATTTGACATCCTATAGTGAAAAGATCAATGTCTGTGTCTTCAGCAAGTCTCTCAGTCTCTCTCTGTCTCTCTGTCTCCTCCTGTCCCATCCCTCCCTCCCTCCCTCCCCTGTGGGTTATTGGGGCTTGATCTCAGGGCTTGGGTGCTATCCTTGTGCTCTTTTTGCTAGCACTCTATCACTTTAAGCCACATAACCACTTCCAGTTTTCTGGTGGTTAATTGGAGATAAGAGTCTCACAGACTTTCCTGCCTGGGCTGGCTTTGAACCACAATCTTCAGATCTCAACCTCCTAAGTAGTTAGGATGACAGGCATGAGTCACTGGTGCCCAGCTCTTTCTTTCTGTTGATGTGAACTTGGCTGCATCCTTGGGTATCAGTATCAGCATAATTAGTTCATGACCTCACTTTCCTCAAACTTGTTGCATAACCTGTTGTTAACCCTAGGACTAATGAGGATGCTTCCAATCCATTCCTTTTCTGCCTCATTCAGGAAAAACCAGGTTCTTTCATCTCAGCATCTGACCAGGGCACCTGGTGGGAACACTGATGCTACAAGAGAAGGAGGAGGAAGGTTTGTAGTGGTAGAGACACTGGCCCAGAGATCAGAAGTGGCTCCATCCCTATGTTGCCTGGCAGCCAGTAGGCTGTTGGAGTGGGGGTTCCTCTCATAGCTGTGTGTTTAGGTTTCATCTGATCTCATCTGGGCCCACATGACCTGGTGTTGGCAGCCTGAGTTCCAGCTCCTCCCAACAATATGGTTTGCATTCCCTGTCCTACTGTCTGTCAGGCTTAGACATTCAAGCCTTTCTTTGTCTAGTGCAGATCAATGCTATTGTCTTAGTCATTCCATTCATTGCCCACCATATGCAGCCACAGTGGATCAGATCTAATTCTAGACAAGCGAGTTTTAGGAAATCTTTGTTCTCAAAGCCAAGATGGCTTCAACCTAGAATAATCTATAATATATATTTTATGTTCTCATAACAATATAAGCTAACATTTTGGAGCTTAATTGGTTTATACCTAGCAAGATGGAGAGCATCATTTATCAGTAATATCCATATTCTGAAAAGTGATATAATATGTAAATAGTTGGTGAATGCTGGAAATGCGTAGATGGAAATGATTGGTAAATATGTGATTTTTGGAACACATTCAGATACTCTTTGTTTTTTTACAATGGTTTTCAAAGACTTTGAAAAGCCTAAGAGAAATTTACAAGTTTTAAAAAAGTCAGGTGGGTACCTGTGGGTAGCTCACAATTCTCAGTAAAGCTGAGATCTGAGAATAAAGTTCATGAGACTCTTATCTCCAAGTAATCAAAAGAAAAGCCAGAAGTGAAGCTGTGGCTCAAGTACTAGCCTTGAGCAAAAATGCAAAGGGACAGCACCCAGGCCCCAAGTTTAAGCCCCAACACACACACACACACACACACACCACATACACACATGCCAGTCACAGATGCATCACCAATTATTCATCAAATCATTCTCTATCATCAATTAAATGAAACCTGTGCCTAGTCCATCATTCATATGGAAAAACCACATCCAGTTTTCTTAACAGTCTCATTAAACTGGTAGACAGGAGGTGCCTGGTCCTTAGCAGTGGCAGAACTTCATCTGATGCCAGCTGTTTTGTGGAGCTCCTGCTGCCAACAATATGGCTTGGATTCCTGCCTGCTTACCTCAGCCTGTTCACCCATGCTAGAGACTTAGGGTGCATTCTGTTGCTCTTCACATGGGACCTTTCCCTACAGCCAGCCTGATCTTTCTTCTTTTTTAATAAGTTTTTTTATTGTGAAAATACCATACAGAAGGGTTATAATTACATGAGCAAGGTAGTGAGTACATTTCTTATGAAGCATTGTTGCTTCCTCCTTTGTTTCTCAAGCCTGCTCTTTCATGCAGGAAAAGAAAGAGACTTTGATAGCTGCCCATGCGGGGTGTGTGTGTGTGTGTGTGTGTGTGTGTGTGTGTACTGGAATTGAATCCATGACATCCCACTGTTCACAGACCTTGGGCACTAAATATTTTTTATTAGTTCACTCAGCCTTAATTTATACAGTCCTATATTCGGATATTTCTACTTAATACCACAGCTGAGCATTTTACCTGTTTTCCAATGGGCTTCTAAGTGATGCTGTTTATACAAACAGCATTAGTAAATCCCAGATAATACTGTTATTGAAGTGATTACTTTCTATTTAGGGACACATTAAGGTAAGCTAGGCAAAAGTAATAATAAGGCTGGGAGATGTATGCTGCAAATGAGAAGAATATTAGTCTTGATTCTCACTTCCATAGCCCTCTGCACCTTGCTCAGGAAGCCATGAGGCCTCTCTGTATCACCGGTCACTCTATCTGCCAATTCAGGCCCCTTGTCACCACCTCCCTCCTCCCTGTCCTTCCCTCCTTTACCTTGGAGGGCCAAAAAGTGAGGGAGGTGCACAGCAGCTACAGCTCCCTGCTCAGCTGTGATGCCAAACAGAGGCCCTGCCACCATCCAGGTGTGCTGCAGGGAAGTCTTGTCCAGGAACGTGTCCCAGGAACAGAATTCAATATTGATGGTCACGTCCCTGATTACCACAAAGCTGAGACCCATGTTGGGACAGTGGTAGAAGCCAGCCACAGGGAAGTGAACCCTGGAAAGAAGAGGGAGACAGATACCAAGTCACACAAAGTCATGAGCACCTGCTGATACCAGACTCAGTGCAGGGGCTGTGGGTGCAGTGCATGGTCACACTTGATTCCAGTCAGAGATTTAGGGCTTGAGTGCTGGCTCCTCCGATTTCTGACTGTGGTCCCTTGAGCAAGTCATTTAACTCTTAAATTTCAGCTTCCTCATCTGTAACTAGGGGACATGCCATGCCCATCCCATGGAGTTGTGAGTGTAAGTGCAAACCTACAGGGTAATAAACACATGCCTGGGAGCTGTGGGCTGTTTCTACTATGATGACAGAGACGAGGAAAGAGGCAGTGTTCTTATTTTAAATATCATGTGGTCAAAGAATATGCTTATAAGTTCCTAAAAATGGATTGATAGATATCCTTTACAGGGGAAATAAACCAATATTAGATTAAGAAAACAAACAGCATATGTAATTAATAAGAATAAACATGTATGTAAATGATAAACCCTTGGAGTGGAACATAGTGCTTTGGAGAGATAATAAGTGGTTTTTCTCAAGGATCTTCATTTGGTTTGTGGTGGGAGGGACAGGTGATGGTTTTGTTGTTTTGTTTTTTGATTTGGTAGCCTTTTATTTTTTGCATTTCTAGAAGTCAGTGGTGAACTATTCTTAAACAAATAATAGAAAAATAAATTTCAGGATAAAAAAACCGATAATGTTAAGTTGCTGACAATAACCCCATCCTAATTGTTTCAGATTTGATTATCAAGGCTAAGATGGACATAAAGAAAACCAATTCTGACTTTTTTCGTTCTTTCTTTCTTTCTTTCTTTCTTTCTTTCTTTCTTTCTTTCTTTCTTTCTTTCTTTCTTTCTTTCTTTCTTTCTTTCTTTCTTTTGTTCTTTCTTTCTTTCTTTGTCTTTTTCTCTTTCTTTCTTTCTTTCTCTCTTCCTTCTCTTTCTTTCATGGTAATGGTATGGACCTTGAGCTCAGGGCCTGAGAGCTGTCCCTGAGTTTTTTTTAATTATTATTTTTTTATTGTGAAAATACCGTATAGAGGGGTTACAATTACATGGGCAAGGTAATGAGTACATTTCTTATCAAGCATTGTTGCCTCCTCCTTTGTTTCCCCTTCCCATCCCTTCCCATCTCCCACCCCCCTGCGACCCCTCTTTCCTCCCTGGGTTTTGTTTTTATGTGTTCATGTTTTTGCTAGTACTAGGGCTTGAATTCAGGACCAAGGTACTATCCTTCAGCTTTTTCATTCAAGTCTGGTGCTCAGCCACTTGGGCCACAGCATCACACTTCTGGCTTTGTGGTGGGTATTGGGTGGGTGCTGACTGTGGGGCTAGGTGTTGGGAGTGGATGGGTGGCAGCTTGAGTTGGTAGAGCCCCTTGCCTATGGGTACAGGCTCCAAGCAGAGCCTCACTCACCTGTACAGGCTCTTCTGCTTCTCAACTACTTCAATGGCCACAGGCCCCATGGGGCCCCAGAAGTCATATTTCTTCCCTACATGCTCCATTTTCAGGTCATCTAGAGAGATAAGAGAAGCCACATGGAATTTTTTCATGTGCACTGCTTTTTCTTCTGGAAGAAGAGGACAGGGGCCAGCTCTATGCTCTCAAGAAATGAGTAAATGAGAAAATCCAGCCCATAGATGGATCATGGTTGGGATCTTGCAGACTAAAGCCTACTTTGGTGTGTTCGGAGTGTATCTTCAGCCCATCTCTGCTCTTGGGCTACCTGTCTGATTTCTGAGCATACCTACTGCACTGCCCCTAACCTAGTCTCAGCCTTCCTCCCCTCCTACTCATCTAGAAGTGCAGTTCTTCCCAGCCTGTCCTCCATGGACAGGTTAAGAGAGAAACCTTGCTGTAAAATGGAAGAGCCCCTGAATAAGGAAAATATTCCCAGGCCTCCACAACCCATAATGCAAGTCAAGGGCCTGGTGCAGAGTCTGATGGATGCCATAGATATTGGAGTTAGAGAGGAAAGCAGAAATCCTTCCAGAGTCTAGGAGAGGACATGCCCTGTTTTACATCAGAGGAAAGGAGATAGATGGAAGCCCTCCCACCATGGCCACCCCCACCCACTATGTTTCTTTAAATACCTGGAGATTGTCTCTGCCACTTGAGTGAGGTGATGCTCTTACTCATCTCTCCTCTGTCTTGGCCTTCAGTAGGGCTCAGCACACTTGGCTTCCTAAACACAGAGATGCTCATCCTCCCACAGATGTCTACAGGACATCCCCCATTAAAGTTAAATGCACATGAGTCTGTTTTTATCTGAGCCTCTCTTGTTGGCCCTGTGTCTTTGAATGGCTCCCATCCATTCATGCATCCACAGTAGTACAGGTTGCCATATTGATTCCTTCCTCACTGCTGGGAATTGATTGTATACCTAGTGTTCATGCATTGAAAATTTAGTTCCTCTGCAACTTGGGAGTTGGGGGTGGGGGAGGGAGGTAGGTTGGGAGGGAAAAAACTGGGAGAAAATGAGAAAAAAGGGTCACACTGTTAAAAAGAAACTTAATACCTGAACAATCTAACTGTAATCCTCTGTACATCATTGTTAGAATAAAAAAATTAGTCCCAAATGGGACCTTTAGGAGGTGAAGAGAGAGTGAGGACTCTACCCGCTTGAGCATATTGTTGTAAGAGTGGATTGATTATGGACAGAATGACTTGGGTATAAAATTGGGTTTGCATCCTCTCACTCTCTCACATGTGCTCCTTAGCCTTTCTGTCTTTGCTCATGGATGACAGAGACACACAGAGCTAGGAAGAAACCAAGAAGCTACAACAACTAGAGAGAGGTAGGACAACATATTGCACCTCCTGGTCCTCAAAGAAATTGAGCTTTCTCCTTTCTCATTGTACATGCCAGGTTCTAGAGCTATAAGACATAATTTATAATTACATTTTATAATTCTGTTAGAGCATCACAAAATGAACTAAAACAATCACTATTCCTGAGAGCCAATCACCTGGACAGCCTCAGTTTTCTTTTCTTTTATTCTTTTTTTGGGGGGAATCCAGTCGTGGGGCCTGAACTCTGGGTCTGGTCGCTGTCCCTCAGCTCTTCAGCTCAAGGCTAGCGCTCTACCACTTAAGCCACAGCACCACTTCCGGCTTTTTTCTTTTTGCTTATGTGGTGCTGAGGAATCGAACCCAGGGCCTCAGGCATGCAAGGCAAGTGTTCTACCACTGAGCCACCTTCCCAGCCCAGCAGCTTTCTTTTCTATTCTGTACCCGTCTCCTCCTCATTTTCCACCTTCATCCCAGACCTGGCATCTGTGACCTGATCCGCTGCAGGATCCTCTAAAAAGTGTGTCTACTTCTAGTCTGGTCCTTCTACTTTCTGGAAAATAAGCTGATCTCATAATATGAGCACAATACACCATGTTGAGGCCTGTGATGCCTCTCCATTGCCTGAGGAGACAGAAAGTACTTCACATAGTCCAGAGCATCTTGCTGTGGCCCCTGTTTCCCTCCATACCCACCAGTACCTTAAGCTCAATGTGCTAAGAAGTTACTTGGTTTCACTACAGAAGCCCCGCTTTGGTAGGTTGGTGAGGGGTCTGAGGAGATGTGTTTTTGTGGAGGGCCCAGTGATGGGGAGGCCGCTGCTGGTTGGCATGGACTACTCTTCCAATAATACTGCCCTATACACTGGACTTTCCAACCCACAAAAGAACTGAGTTCTCTGATCCCTCATAGTCTACCGTTGCCTGGAGTCAAGTCTTTCTCTGTCCAAATAACCCTTCCCTTCTCTTGGAACTCTGCTTAGCTCCGTGCAGTGTCTTTAGGTGAAGTCAGATACATCAGTGGACTCCCCTTAACCCCACATGTAACCATAGATCCTGGGAGACCTCATCCCTGTTCCCTGCTTGGCTGAGCTCCTGGCAGGTGAGCTGTGTGGATCTTGTTCAGTGCTGTGTCCTCAGTGCTGTGTCTTGCTGTGTCATGTGGGCTGCATGCTCAGTGGGTCTGCAGAGAATGTTCAGTGAATGGTGGACTCCCTCTCCCAAGCCTGGAAGCCCATTCACTTCCATTTTAGGTGAGGCATGGTAGCCTGGAGCTTGAGGACCAATGGGTTCCATGGTCATGAGCAGAAATAGGCCAGAGGGAGGACAAGGGGGTGTAGTGCATTTCCTCAGCATGGGAGAAGATTCCCCCGCCCTCAGGCATCTCTTGAACCCAGGGTGTCTGTGTGGGCATAATGATGATATATGTGCATGATGATCATGATGGTGATCTGTAACCCAAACATCTCTCTGTGTCTTATAGTGACTCCTTCATTATCCTAGCTCTCTGTTCATTTGAAGGAATTTGTTCCAGTTGCCACTATCTACTGGATCCAGAGGCCTAAGTTACTCACTCACTCCCGGCAGGACATATGATTATCTTTTCACTAAATAACCCTAGTTTCTACCTCACTGTAGGTGCTATGGTCTCTTGTTTTCTTCCTGGATGTTTGTCCCTTACACCACCCCCAGGACCCTCGCCTCATCTCTGGGTTGGCCAGTGGCTCACCCTTGCAGGAACTGAGTGGGCCAGATGGAGTTTCATTTCTCCTCCTTACCATCTGCTGGAGATGATTAGCTCAGGTCTTTCTTGCTTCAGGGCCCTCAGCTCCCTCTTCACCAGTTCACTCAGCGAGTCCTGGTCCAAGCTGTAAGCACAGGGAAGCCTGGTTCTCCTGGATCCACCACAGGACCTTCAGGACCTCAGGGTCTTGGGTCCTAGATTCTGCCACCTACTGAAGGCACCTGTTCCAGTCACTCTGAGGTGGACCTGGAGTGAGGAGGCTGACGAGGGAGGGAGTGTTCTTGGGCTAAGGCTAACATGAAGGAAAGGAAATCAGTTGGACTGGGCAGGGAAGACTCTGCTGTGAAGTTGTCCCAGTGGAGGATTTTGCCAGGTCCCAGGATGACCCTTGGAGTTCAGAGGAGGGGCTGGGACTTCATAGTCCAAAAGGGATCAGTCACTGGCAATGTTTGAACCCTGGGCTCTCATTGATACAGGGCTGCTGTGTCTGCGGTTTGCTCTTCATTCCTGAAGGGAACATGAGTGACTGTTGATAGTGTCTACCATAGAACAGCTGTTTAAAGTGTAAGGAAAGAGTCCCAAGATTTCCTTTCCAAGAAAAGGAATGCCTACGAATGGGGAGTCCTGGTTATCTTCTCTCAGGGCACATGCTCAGAGGTTTCTGTTGGCTCTGTAATAGTTACTGTCTGATCTGGGCCTATGGGTTGTCAATCTCTGACCTGCCACAGATGATTCCTGCTCTGCTGCTGTGAGGCAGCACAAGGCAGGAGATGAACGGATCGTTGGCTATAAAAGGCCATTCTTTGTCATTGTTCTCTTTCAGAACTCTTCTCCTTCAGGAGGGGGATGAAGGCTCAGAATTCAGAGCTCTCCCCTGTCCCTGGGACAGGAATTCTTGTCTCTGAGAGGAAGCAGAAAGCTTCACAAGATTTCAGGTCTCTTCTGAGTAATCTAAAGTTTGACAAGTTGCTGTTGAACTAGGGCCTGAATCTAGATCTGCTGGCAGCGGCTATCTCAGGAGAACATACTACTGGAAGAGGCTATCTCAAGAGAATATGATTGTTGAACTGGAGTGCAAAGCTAGACCAGGCAGAAGAGTCCTCCAGATTCTAGCTTCAATTAGTTGGCCCTAGTCATGTGGTATTAGATTCATGGCCCAGTGGGATAAGATTGTAGGAAGATCTATCCCTCCCTCCCCCCGTCCCCCGCCTTGTATGGCTCTGTGGCACCCTACCTCAACCCCCTCCCCTGCCTCCTGCCCTGAAGGGTCCCACAGTGTCCTACCACAGGAACTTGAGGTGACAGGGAGGATGCCTGAGCCCCTCATAGAGCAGCTTCACACCGTGGTCACCCAGGTTGTTCTGACGCAGGTCGAGATTCTTCAGGCTGGAGCTGGTGCTGAGCACAGAGGCCAGGTCCTTGCAGCAAGTGGGGGTGAGGCCACAGTGGACCAGCCTGCAGAGGAGATGCACATGCTTATTGTCTCAAGGACCTGCTCATGTAGGAGCAAGGAGTCTGCTCTCTCTTTCCAGTAACTGTGACTCTTTGGGATCTTGAGTGACATTAAAGGAAGACAAAGACTTTCCAGGCCAGCCCAATACCCATACCAATACTAGGAGTTTTCCACCCAGCAGGGTCGTCAACCAGAAGCCTCCTCCAGTGGCTGGGGAGCAGCAGCCCTGTGCTATTGAAGGCCAGGCTGACCCATAGTTGCCTCATACTGGATCCACCATTCCCTCTGAGGATCCCCTAATGGGCCTGATGGATCCCAGGCCTGGTGGCAGAGGGCCCTGTGGGGATGGAGGGTCTCTGTAAATTGTCCATGACACTGGATGCCTTCAACATGGCTGTTTCTCGTCTGCCACTGTGTGAATCTGGTAATGGAGTGCCATAGGCCCTCTTTTGCCTTTGTCTAGCCATGAGCAAGGTCAGTCAGTCCTGACCCTCCTTTTCTAGGCCCAGGTAAATAATGGACATTTCTCAGGCCATGACCAACAGGGGCTTGCCTGAGCCTATTTTTCATGCAGTGATATGTACAATTATTTTTTAAAGGTACTTGGATAATAAAGGAATAATAGTTTTTGATCCTTAAAAAAACTGTTTTAAAACCTGTCCAAATTGGCAGTGACTTGATTGCTTTTTATTTTCTCTTGCAGCCAAGGAGTGCCTCAGTATGAGGCAACTGCTCTTTCTCATTCCTGGTGGAACTCACAGAAATCCTGTCCCCCACCACACTGGAGGAATGATTTACTTGGTGTCCCATTTGTATACCTACCTGAGTTTGTTAACCACAACGGATCCTGCCAAGTACTCCAACTCCATGGGCACAGGACGATTGTGAATGTTAAGGGAATCTTTAGTATATGAGAAAATCAGAGAGCTCCTTATTCAAGAACCAAAATTGAGGGAGCATGACAGATTCAATGGAATGACAGCCTATCCTGAGCCGTGTAGTATAGATGGAGATGTAAAATGTGAGCTGTCCCAGCTTAGGGGCAGCTGCCTTTTTGATCTGCAGAGCTAATCCCATAGCTGAGCTACTGCAGGAACACTGCAGTAGAGGAATAGGTGTCCTAGCTTGCTTCTGCTAGACACAGGGGAGGGCCTGCCTTAATGACATGATATCCAGAGCAGAATGAAAATTGTTCATGGGCCAGGAACTATATTTGGGAGGAGAATCAAGGATGGAAGAGAAAGCAAATCTACTAGATCCTTCCTGATAAAGCTTCTTTCCCTTGAACCTTGCTTGTCCCTGGCCCAAGCTGCAGTGTGAGTAGCTACAGAAGTTCACAGGCAGAGGCTGACACTGTATTGAGGACATTTTTTTCCAGCCCATTTCACCTTAAGATGCACTGTCCCCTTGAATAGTACAACTTCTTTTTGTGTGTGAAGGTCCTGAGGCTTGAACTCAGGCTTTTTTGTTCTACCACTTGAGCCACATTTCCACCTCCAGCTTTTTGGTAGTTAATTGGAGATAAGACAGTCTAGGCTGGCTTTGAACTGTGATGCTCAGATCTCAGCCTCTTGAATAGCTAAGATTATAGGTATGGGCCATAAGTACCCAGTCTGGTGCACCTTCTCTAGAGAACATATTTAGCAATGCATAGTCTTTATTCAGAAATTCTCAGAATGTAGGTACAAATCTTATTCTATGATTCAGGGTGCCTGGAGGAGGAGGTTAATGGCAGTTCTCTTTAGAGTGCAAAATGTAGGGGTTGGAGGCATGGCTCAGTAAACTTAAGTACCGAGTTTGAGTCCCAAACGCAGAACTGGGAAAAAAAGAATGGAGTGCAAAATATGTTAACCCAATACCATAATAGCAGAATGATTAAAATCTAATGGTGAATCCATGTAGTAAACATCTATTTGCCTCTAGAAAGAATAAGGCAACTTTGTAGTATGTTTTGGTGTGGGAACATCTCCAAGATCTATTTTAAGTGATAAAGTTGTGGTACAGTGTTCATTGACTGTAGAGTATGACTTATATAAGACAAGGACTGAGCATGCGTTGTGTGACTCATGGCTATGAATTCTCTGGGGAGTGCTGCCTGGGATCACCTGGGAGGCTGAGAGTCTGGACTGAGTATGCACTGTGTGACACATGGTCATGAATTCTCTGTGGGGTGTCCTGCCTGGGTGTGCTGCTCTACAGCTGGATATGTTCAATTCCCAATAGAGTACTCAGGACCAAGGCATCTGCATATCTGTGAGTAATGAGTGGTTTTGGCTAAGAAAGAGCACAGAGCAAGAGATATCTCAGCTTATTAGATCTAACTGGCTAACATGTGGGAGATACACCTACTAGCTTGAGTTTGTTCAACAAATACCTAGAAGGAACTATGGAGGGCCTACTGTGGGCTATACTTGTGGTTAGGTAGGGGTTGATAAGACCTTCTGTCAGCTCTCTAAAAATGTTCTGTTTACTATGGGGATAGACAAAAAAAAAACACTTATCTCTTATCATCCTAGCTACTCTGGAAGCTGAGATCTGAGAATCACAGGGTCTCTTATCTCCAATTAACTACTAAAAAGCTGGAAGTACAGGTTTGACTCAAGTGGTAGAGTGCCAGCCTTCAGCATAAAAGCTAAGTGACAGTGCCCAGGTCCTGAGTTCAAGTCCCAGTACCAGCAATAAATAAATAAATAAACAAACAAACAAAATCACCACTCTAATGTTTCCTCACATCACTGAGTAAAATTCTAGCTCCTCATCTTGGACATCAGGACTCAAGCGACCTGGATTCTTGTCATCTCTGACCCAATGTCTTTTTTTAAAAATATCCATCTTCACTTGTAAAGCTATACCCAGAATATGTAAAGATGTCAGGAATATTAAACACAAAAAGCAAATAATCCAGTTACTAAATGGGCTAATGAACTAAATACACAGGTCTCAAAAGAAGTACAAATAGCTAATGTGTACATAAGGAAATATCCAACAACCTTAGACATAAGGGAAGTGAAAGTCAACCTGTGAGATTCCATATCAACTTAGCCAGAATATCAACCATGAAGAAAACAACAGCAGATGCGGATGTGAAAGCAGGGAATAGAGACCCTCAGACACTTTTGGTGAGAATGTGAATCAGTGTGGACCATATCCAAATCAGTACGGATGTTCCTCAAAAACTGAGTACTAGCACATAATCCTGCTGTACCACTCATGGCTCTATCTAAAGAACGCACATCAAATACAACACAGATACCTGCACACACATTTATTGTAGCACTATTCACAATAGCAAGCTACAAAATCAACATGTCCAACAGCCTATGAATAGATAAAGAAAATGTGGCTCTCACACACATTATTCAGCTATAAAAAGAAATGAAGTTATTTTGCTCCCAAGAAAATCTATGGAACTGGTGATGATAATAAAGAGCAAGACAAGCCAACTCAGAAAAAATATTGAAAAATGTTTACATATGTGAAATGTACATGTATACGAATCATATGTACTAATACAAAGTTAGCTGAGTACTGGTGATCAATGCCTGTAATCCTAGCTATTCAGAAGGCTGAGATCTGAGAATCACAGTTTGAAACCACTCCAAACATGAAAATCTCTGAGATTTTTATCTTCAACTAGCCAGCAAAAAGTGGAGCTGTGGCTCAAGTGGTAAAGAATCAACCTTGAGTGAAAAAACTAAGGGAGAGTGCCCAGGTCCTGAGTTCAAGCCTCAGTACTGTCACCTAATAAAGTCTTTTATAATTATGATTAGCAGAAACCATCTATACAGAGAACCTCGAAAGGAGGAATGGGGAAAGAACAGGAGGATGCATGTGAAAGTATTACATTATGGGTGTGTGTCTGTGTAGCTGAAAATAAATAAAGCCAAGCAGTGAGAACTTGGGTATAATAAGTATAAGGGTTAAGAAATAGTAATAGAGGGAATGAATTTGACCAAAGTACATTATATGTATCTATCTATGTTAATGTCACAAAGAAACTTCTCTGTATAGATGGTTTCTGCTAATCATAATTATAAAAGACTTTATTAGGTGAATGAATACAGAGTTGCAAGCACAGGATGAAGGAGAGGAAGATGCACACTAAGAGTTCACAGTGCAGGTACAGAGGTGGAGGTGCAGTTTGTTGCCTGTCCATTGGATGCCTATATTAGCAAAGGTAGTCCCACCAGATAATGTGATTTTGTTGTGTTAGGCTGTTGGTAACTTTCAGTCCTTTTACAATGTTTTGGTGTTATCACTCAAAAATGGAGACAATGGGTCTGGAATAAAATTATTAATCAAATGGTGACACGGGTGCCTATTTTCTGTAACTTCTATGAGCATTCTAAAGAACTGTTGTGCCAGTCATTGTTCACTGCTTGGACACAGTATTCATTTGGGATAAAGTCCTTGGCTGGCAGGGAAAAATGTGAAACCACAGTAACGTTTCGTTAATTCATGTTGGCATAAACCTAGAAAAGATTAGGAGAGTGGTCCATTTTATTTTTTTTTTTATTTTTATTTTATTTTTTTATTGTAAAGCTACTATACAGAGGGTTACAGTTACATGAGTGAGGTTATGAGTACACTTCCTCTTGAACATTGTTACCCCCTCCATTGTTTTCCCCCTACCATCCCCTCCCACCCTCCCTTCCCCGAGGTTCTTTTTTTTTTTTTTTTGATTGTGATTAAATGATTACATAATTTCAAAGTCACAAGTTCATTCTAACTTCCCTGGAGCAAATTGTCTACCACAGTCTGTAATATATAACAGTGTTCACATGTTATATACCATATTTGTGATCAGCAGCATGAGGATATTTAGTAGTGGTTCAACCAGATGAGCGGGAGTTCTTTGTTTCTTAAGTCCTGTTAGTTTTGTCGTATCACCTAACCTTTTGGATTTAGCATCCACTTATGAGGGAGACCATGTACCGTTTGTCTCTTCGTTCTTGGCTTACCTCGCTCAACATGATTCCTTCTAGCTCCATCCATTTCCCTG